ATCATTTTTTTTTGACAGACAGAGCTTTATTTTGGTGGTATTTAATCAGCTCTGGGTTTTTATTTTTATTTTTAACAAACCAAAAACCACTGAACATTTTGAAAAAAAAATATTTTTTTTTGTTTTTGTTATAAATTTTGTAAATTTTTCTCCTTCAATGATATGCACTAATGAGGCTGCAGTGATGGGCACTGATAGGCTGCACTGATGGACACTGATAAGTGGCACTTATGAGGAGGCACTGGTAGGTGGCACTGATGGGCATTGACAGGCATCACTGATGGGCACTGATATATGGCACTGATAGGCGGCATTAATAGGTGGCACTGACTGGCACTGTTAGGTGGCACAGATAGGCAGCACTGATGGACACTGATAGGTGGCACTTATGAGGAGGCACTGGTAGGTGGCACTGATGGGCATTGACAGGCATCACTGATGGGCACTGATGCACACTGATAGGCGGCACTGTCTGGCACTGATAGGCGGCACTGATTGGCATTGATAGGTGGCACTGACTTGCACTGATGGGTGACACTGAAAGGCAGGTCAGATGGGCACTGATATGTGGCATTGATGTGGCACTGATGGGCACTGGCAGGTGGCATGGATGAGCACTGAGAGCTGGCACTGATGGACACTGACAGGTGACACTGCTGGGGCTACACAGATCATCAGGGCACACTTATCATCAGTGCACTGATGATTTGTGTACATGTCCCTTCCGAGGAATACTGATTACCGTCTCTCCTCTCTTCTCGAGCTGTCAGCGTGACAGCCCGTGAGGAGAGAAATGCCGATAACCGGCTCTCCTCTCTTCTTGAGCTGTCAGCGTGACAGCTCGTGAGGAGAGAAATGCCGATAACCGGCATTTCCCTGTTTACATGCGATCAGCTGTGATTGGACACAGCGGATCACATGACCGAGCAAACATCTTTGGCTCTTTCTGTGGATCGGTGATCCGCTGTGTCTGAGGGACACAGCGCACTGCCGATCGCCATACTGCGCGCTCCCGGGGCTGCGCATGCGCGGTGAGAACGGGAGGACGTCATATGATGTCCTTCCAGAACGAGAGAACCGCCTTGTGCCCGTCATTGGACTATATGGCGGGCGGGAGGCGGTTAAAATTATGGACAGTCCTGAGGCACCCTTTAAAATTTCAGAGTCTTAAGGAACCCCATTCTAAAATGTGAAAAACTATTCTGATAGTTTTATATAACGCAGCAACATCCACACATGTAGGACACTCAACATTAGAGGTGATTTATTCTTCCAAAGCAAATACATTTTTGCACATTGGTACTGACTAGTATTCCATTGTTTCTCTTCTCCCTCAGTTTTTCTCCAACACTGAGCTAAAGTGACCACAGCACTGATGGGAATGGGCAGGGGAGAGTCAAACTAGGATGCTGTGCAGGCAGCTGACATCCTCTTTATCAACTGATGATGTCATTGGTTGTCAGGACGCTGGCGGGTAGAAGGTCGTAATGGTGCACAATGATAACCTGTTGCTTTGTGTAACTAAAAGGCCGGCTTGTTCCACCCCCTGGATTGTATACCAGTTTTGGGCAATTTTTAGACATTTTGCAAAGGCACCCCTGAAGAAACCTCAAGGAACCCCAGGGTGCCTGGGCACCCTGTTTGAAAAAGGCTGCCCTAGAGAAAAAAATATTGGTAGTTCCATTTTTTTATGTCACACGATATTACCATAAAGGTCTAGGAAACGCACAATTTTTTTAGTAAAAAAAAAACACTAAAGTGAATTTTAGGTCAAACAAATGCAATAAATTACCCAAGTATTTGGTAAAATATAAAAGACAAGTTTTTGCCGATACCCAACATGCCAAACCTTAAATTTGTGTGCGCCTATGAAATGGCAACAAAATTCAGTACCCTATATTTCTATAGCTATGCGTTAAGGAGGAGGTCTTGTGCTAGAATGATTGCTCTCACTCTGACGGGCGCAGCGATATATAACGATATGGAGTTTGCATGTTCTCCCTGTGCCTGCGTGGGTTTCCTCCGGGTACTCCGGTTTCCTCCCACACTCCAAAGACATGCTGGTAGGTTAATTGGATCCTGTCTAAATTGGCCCTAGTATGTGTACGTATGAATGTGAGTTAGGGACCTTTGATTGTGCGCCCCTTGAGGGTTAAGGACTGATGTGAATGTACAATATATATGTAAAAAAGCGCTGCGTAAATTGACAGCGCTATATAAGCACCTGAAATAATAATAATAAATAAATAAATAACACGTGTATTGCAATTGACGTTTTCATACGTAGGCACCTTACATAGGTACATAGTTCTTCTGGCTGAAAAAAGACAAAAGTGCATCCAGTTTATCCATTAAAAAAAAGAAAAAGGTTCTAATCCTACACCCACAGTTGATCCTTGACATGCGTGTTGATGTTCATACGTGCATATATGTGGGGGGCCTCAAAATGTTTTTGGTGGGGGATGTTATGTGCTTGGGATTACCTTTATTTTTTTCCCAAAAAAGTGTTTTTTTCACTTTGCCTTTCGGGTCACAGAAAATAGGGGAGGAGAGCGGACTTTCGTGCAATGCTTACTTATTGCCATTCAACAGAGTATCTGTTGTCAGGCCTTTTGCTGCTGTGGTCTTGTGGTCTCTCCCTGTTGTCTTCCATGTCCAATCCTGCTGTACTGTGAAGCATCTCATTATGGTGATGGAGCAGTACCAATGTGTAAGAGGCAGGAGGGGAGGACTTAGATGCTCCCAGGAAGTGTTGGAGCTTCGCCCAGTCAGAACAGATTGAGTTTTGGAAGTAGCGACTGTCTTTTGCACTTAAAAAAAAATAAAAATAAATAAATATTAGTAAGCCTTAAAAACAAGTGGAAGTGTTGCCCACATCAGCCTATCAGATTGCAGGTTACTGAAAACTCTTAGGGTCCTTTCACACGGGCGTTCCATATGTCCATTATTCATCTGTCCGTTTACAGATGAACAACGGCCCCCATGTATTTCTATGGGCTAGCAGATGTAAACGGATGATAATCTGTTTACATCTGTTAATGTCCACATCCATTACCATCCGTTCTTTTTTTTTGAAAGGAAGAAAAACTTATTGTTCTTCCGTGTAAAAAAAAAAATGCAACAGATGAAAAACGGATGTAAATGGATGTAAACGGACATACGGTCTGTTTTTGCGTTGGTAAAGGATGTAAAAACTGACGAGAAACTGATTTAAACTGATCCGTTTTTTTCTTTGAAAAAACGTGACTGAAGTGATGAATAAACAGAATGCCCATGTGAAAGGACCCTTATGGCGCTTTGGGCAAAAATCCATTTTGATGGTATTCCCTATTTTATTGGTAAGGTTTCATAATCACTTCTCTGCTATTAATGCTGATTATTTTTAGCTTGCATAGCCATTATTTATTTATTTTTTATATAAAGCAGTGAAAGATTAGATCCCTTGCTGATCTCCTGCTATTGGGGCTCTGTTTTGAAGATCTCTTATCAATTACTGTTAGTGACAAAGGTTTTAGCAGTTAATGTCTATACACCGTACAAACTTCAGCAGGAACCGGAAATAAATTGGTCAAAGTTCGTTCAGTGGATGGCCCTGTCGGCCCCTCCCGTTTGACATTCTTTGACTGAAAAATAGAAGGAGTTGGATGGAAAATCAGATCCGCAGCATAGATACAGAAATAAAAGATTGATGGGGGTGGAGGTAGGCCTTCCACTACTGTACTGAAAACAAAAGCATTGGTATTTCTGTTGTGTTTCCGAGTTTGCATCGCTTCCTCTCTAATGAAACAATTGTCATTGGGATACTAAGGCTGGGGTTCTCCCTGTTAAGCTGGGGTTCACATTGTTGTGCTGTGGTGATGCAGACATTGGTGCGCTGCAATGCCATTCATTCCTAACCGCAACACAATGCGCAGTGATGTACTACACTGCATTGCAGTGTGCTGCGTCACAAAGAATTTTCCATGTACCTTTTTATTGTTGCGTTAGGCAGCCTATTCAAAAGAATGAATGGGTAGGCTTATTGGAATGGACGGAATAATGCACATGCATTTACACAGCTAACAATGTGAATCTGTCCTACATGACAGGGAGTCCCGACTCCTGGACAGTGGTGTATTTTGGTTTTGTGCTGCCCTAGGCAAGACTAAAATCACTGACACCAATGATGGTGCCCCATCATTACTGTCAGTTTGTGAGGAATAGCGCCCATCATTGGTGTCAGTGTGGGGAATAGTGCCCCATCATTGATGTCAGTGTGAGGAATAGTGCCCCATCATTGGTGTCAGTGTGAGGAATAGTGCCCCATCATTGGTGTCAGTGTGAGGAATAGGAGGAATAGTGCCCCATCATTGTGTCAGTGGGAGGAATCGTGCCCCATCATTGGTGTCAGTGGGAGGAATCGTGCCCCATCATTGGTGTCAGTGGGAGGAATCGTGCCCCATCATTGGTGTCAGTGGGAGGAATCGTGCCCCATCATTGGTGTCAGTGGGAGGAATCGTGCCCCATCATTGGTGTCAGTGGGAGGAATCGTGCCCCATCATTGGTGTCAGGGGGAGGAATTGTGCCCCATCATTGGTGTCAGGGGGAGAAATAGTGCCCCATTATTGGTATCAGTGGGAGGAATCGTGCCCCATCATTAGTGTCAGGGGGGGAATCGTGCCCCATCATTGGTGTCAGTGGGATGAATAGTGCCCCATCATTGGTGTCAGTGGGAGGAATAGGGCCCCATCATTAGTATCAGTGGGAGGAATAGTGCCCCATCATTGGTATCAGTGGGAGGAATAATGCCCCATCATTGGTATCAGTGGGAGGAAGTGCCCCATCATTCAGTGGTGTCAGTAGGGGAATAGTGCCCCATCATTGGTATCAGTGGGAGGATAGTGCCCCATCATTGGTGTCAGTGGGAGGAATAGTGCCCCATCATTGGTGTCAGTGGGAGGAAGTGCCCCATCATTGGTGTCAGTGGGAGGAATAGTGCCCCATCATTGGTGTCAGGGGGGCAAGTGCCCCATCAGGAAGTGGGAGTGTATAGTGGACAGGTGGGCATTGGGGCAGTGGGACAGGAGGAGGAGCATCATTGGTGACAGGTGGGGGGCAGGGACAGGTGGGGGACAGGTGGGGGGGCAGTGGGACAGGTGGAGCACAGAGGGACAGGTGAGGAGCACAGAGGGACAGGTGAGGGGCAGTGGGATAGAAGGAGCATAGGGGACAGATGGGGGGCAGCAGTGGATGGGGGGCAGCGTGACAAGGGACATGGGATAGGATCGGGGCAGCGGGACAGGAGAAGCGCAGTGGGACAGGTGAGGGGGCAGTGGGACAGGAGGAGCACAGTGGGACAGGTGAGGAGCACAGAGGGACAGGAGGAGTGCAGAGGGATAGGTGGGGGGCAGCGTGACAGGGGGCATGGGACAGGATCGGGGCAGCTGGGCAGGAGAAGTGCAGAGTGAAAGGGGAGGGGCAGCTGGATAGAAGGAGTGCAGATGGACAGGTGAGGGGCAGCTGGACAGGAGGAGTGCAGAGGGACAGGTGAGGGGCAGCTGGACAGGCAGATGGACAGGTGAGGGGCAGGAGCACAGGAGGAGTGCAGAAGGGACAGGTGAGGGGCAGTGGGACAGGAGGAGTGCAGAGGAGGGAGGTGAGGGGCAGCTGGACAGGAGGAG